GGAAGTATCACCCTTTTTTCGGTGATACATTTGAGTACGACCTTTTTTTCGGTGATACATGCGTGTACGACCATTTTTTCGGTGATACATGCGTGTACGACTATTTTTTCGGAGATACATTTTAGTATCACCATTTTTTCGGTGAGACAGTTATGTCTCATCCCTCAGAGAGTGAGATGTATCACTATTTGATTTTCAGTGCAGCTCGTCGGCACAAATATTGCACCTCCTCTCTCCGACCAGCTCCAAACCCGCCGTGCAGAGGTCCGCCGTCTACCAGGTTTTGACCTCTATTCTTGACCGCACGCAGATGGGGACAAGTTCTCTGGATAGAGCAAAGTTGCAGCTACAACGTACCGTGGCTCTTTTTCGGATATTCCTATTTTCTCAGGACGTGTTGTGAGCGAAAGTTGGACCATAACTGGACTGCCCTGGGGCCTAACTTAGGCGTTCAAAATTTTTTTTGAACGCACCGTCATTGAGATTAATCCCTTCTGAGCCCGTGTGTCAAGTTTCATATTGATATCTCGAACGGTGTGGCCAGGACGGCGTTAGAAAGAGGTCGGTGGAAATGCCGCTTTTTGAGAGGTGTACCGGTACCATATCCTCTTAACGTGCCGCTCCGGAGCACAGAGCTTGTAGTTTTGTGCTCATGAGCTTGATCAGGGCAGCGCCTTCCTTCTTCTCCGCTGCTTCAGCGGCTTGGGCGAGTTTCGCTTCTCGCCTTTCTTGCTGCTTGACGAGCTTCTTCGTCGCCACCTTGTCCACGTTGCTGATGACCATGGCCCTGACGGTCCTCTGGTCCCGAAGAAATTCTTCCTCGTCGGGCGGCATTCTTGACGCTGCGCAGATGCACTGCGAATGGTGGGGGGCGCACTTGCACTTCGCTACGTCAAAAAGTTTCTTCAAATCTTCTTTAAAGGTGTCAATCCTGGCGCGAACAGACTCAGTCTCCACTCTGCTGAACTTCTGAACCTTTTTGTACTTTTCGTACAGACGGCCAACATTTGTTGCAATCGTGAAGTCAGTCACCAGTTCAACACTGGACACCGCTTGCCACACCGCTTTAACGCGTTGCGATACAAGCTGCGCCACTTTCTTGGCCGGTGCGTCTTCTTCGTTTTGCAGCTTCCAAGTCTGGGCCTCCCACTTGAAATGCGGCAGAATGTCCCCCGCGGTCGGAAGTGCCCTCCCGGTCAGTTCACCGGGAGAACCGATGAGAGGGCACCGAGCCGCGGCCCTGGTAGTCTTCTTCGCCTTGACCATTTTGACCACCCAATGTCACAATGTAAACAACTTAACTAACACTATCAACCTCCAACGACTCCCCAAAACCTCTGCTCAAAATAGAGAGGCGGCGCCCCGACGCGCATACTAGTTAATTCCGCCCCCGTAGCTACCACCGGGCGCTAATTCGCAGCGAACGCAGCGCCATCTATCGGATCGCTTCTCGTAACTACGCCCTAATTATGGCAAAGAGCTGCGAAATGTCTCTAAATCAGTCCAAAATGTGTTTAGGGGGTGGGTCTGGGTCAGGGGGCTGGGTTGGGTATCGCGGGGTGGGTGCGGGGGTATGACGCGGGGGAAGGACGCACGTGCAGTGCGCTAAGCGCGTGCATTTTCCCCCGTAATCGCGAAACCGCCATGTTTAACCTCTTTTCCCGGTTCCTGCGACTCACCTGGTGTCGTTGTGGCTTCCCGCCGACCAGGGCAGACATTGCAGATACCGCCAGACTTGATCCGCGCGAGAGGGAAGCCCTTACACTGCAAATGCAAAGGCGATACTTGAGTACATTTTTTGGCGATACAATTGAGTATCGCCAATAAACGGCCTTCCGGAAAAGTACGGCAGAACGGCGATACACAGAAGTATCGCCAAAATTTGGCGATACTTTTGGGTATCGCCGAAACCACGGCATTAAACTGAGAACTTGTCCCCTTGATTTGCTCAACGTTTATTGCCCAATCGTGGCAATACTCCGAAGTATCGCCAAATGTTGGCGATACTTTTGTGTATCGCCGTTTTGAAGGCAATACTTACCGTAAGACCGTTTATTGGCGACACTTAATTGTATCGCCAAAAAAGGTACTAAAAGTGCTGCCTTTCGATTTACAGTGTACCTGGCCAAATAGCTGGATTTTTTTTGTTTAAAGGTCGGTCCAGGCCTGGTTGACTTCACATGGAATGTCCCTTATGTTCAAACACATAAAATGAAACGAAAAAGTTACTAAACGAGACGATTTGTAACTTGGCATTCGGCAGACATTTCTCAGATACATTGAAGTACGATTAAAAGTGCAAGAATCCCAGGAAGCGCGCCAAAATATCAAAACGATGAATGTTGCGCGATCAGCTTGCCGCTCCAACCGTTGTGTTGAGGTGGGTGCCGGGAGGAGATCGGATACCGGAAGCGGGAACGCGCAGATGAGATCATTTGAACGGGAAAAAAACATGCTGTTTGCAGATAGGGTGTTTGTAATTTCTTTCTGGTTTTAAATCAAACATATCGCCAAAATATTAAAACTGCAGACGCAGAAAGGCGTCAGGATCAAGAATCGATGCATAACTCAAAAAGTGTAAAAATGTCAGGGCGTCTTTTCCAGGGAACGACCTGATAAGATTGTCTTGGGGGGAACGCGCAGATAAGATCTTTTGAATAGGACCCCTCGAAATTTATCTTTGACTCAACAATTCATGAATGTAGTTGCTTCATCTGACATCAAATAAGTCTTAAGGGCGCACGAGTGAAAATGCAGAGGTTTTGAAAGTAAAAATCAACTTGTAACATGTTTGCAAGCTGAAGTATTTCGAATAGTAAGGTCGGGTTTGCTGCATTCGACTCGACATGAAAGGTAGAAAAATAAGGTAAAAAACAAATACCCAAAATTTGACGATTTTTGCTGGTGTGCCCCTTGAAACTTTATCTTTGCAGTTCGATTTGTACGTTCTGCCCGACCATTTCATTCTAGATGATATTTTGGAACATTTTTCTACATAATTAAATTTTTTGTACAATATTTTGCTTGATCCGGCTCGATCACAGGATTTGAATGGTTGACCACTATCACACTTACATTTCTGGTGGTCCAAATAAGGTAACAACTTCTTCTCTCACTTAGCAATCACTTGCTCATTGAAGTTACTGTGTACAAATGGCGCGCTCAAAAAAACCCCTATGATGGACTTATGCAGTACGCAGCTATAAGCAGTGATATTGAAAACGTACTCATTTTCGGAAATAACGCTAATTTTTTAACGGCATCTGCGTTTAGCGGTCTTCCGTTTGTAAAAACGTCCAAACTGAGTGAGATAGCTTTCCGTATTAAAATTTATTTTTACAACTTTTCCTGCCGCGGGATCCCACCACGACCCCTTTCTTCGACTCAAGACTTTTAGATGCAAGTTGAGGACGTGTGGTATGAAGACGCCTCCGGGACGGATCGATGAAATGCACTCGTGTAAAAGGCGGAATTCCGGAATTGTCACGCCGACCAAAAAGACCCCAATGAGCATGTCGGCCTAGTTCATACATTTTAGGTATACTGAACACTTGGCTATCAATTTCTACAAACTCACGTTTTTTCCCTAAGCTCCCTAATAGGGAACTTTAGAGGCATTCAACCGATTGCCAATCCATGCTTATCTTGAAACTAATCCCAATCGCAATTCTGGTTATAAACAAAAGGACTAATTTGGATTGTAAATTATTGGATTAGGACAATAGAACACTGTTGGCTGAATTGAAGTTGCTTACATACTGCAAAAAGGGCAACAAAATTGTAGTCAAACAACAATTTATTTACACTCCCGAAGTGTGCTTGCTTTTTGCAAACGGAAGTACATTTAAGTTCCGACTACACTGGAGTTAAAACTGTATTTAAGAACTGCACGTGAGACTGCAATTTAATTGTACGTGTACTGCTGTTGAAAATGCCCTCTATACTACGTTTCGATCTACAGAGTTAAACTACATTTAAAATACTTTTAAAAATGGCGTTTTTTAACTGCAGTTTATGACTGTAGTCTGCACTCAGTCAAAAATGCACTCCCCTTTCCCCCCGGGCACTATCACACTTACATTTCTGGTGGTCCAAATAAGGTAACAACTTCTTCTCTCACTTAGCAATCACATTGTCACGTGCCCCGGTAACAAGGTGCCCCACCCTCCCTCAGGACGATCATTCACGCGCAGCTCAAACAATCAGGATCTTGGAAATACGATACTTCTCTCATTTCGGAGTCGCGAACTGTGTCAGTGCCCCATTCTCCTGAGCCTCCGTTGATAGACACACCTGTCCAAACAGCTACAGCACTAGGGGGCCGTTCAAAAATGACGTCACACTTTTAAGGGGGGGAGGGGTCAGAGAAAACGTGACCAAATGTGACATGGGGGAGAGGGGGTGAAGGCATTGTGACATCACACTTTAAAATAGTGTAAATTGCCAAAAATAATAGGAGTGAGCCACCAAAAAAAGAACTGAAATCAGCAATCTCCGCCTACTTCAGCTTTAAAATGTCACTGGCTTAGGTATTTTAGCTGCACTTTCCTCAGATTTTTCCGAACAAGTTAGCGTTAGACCAGATTCGACCGGATTTGCCAATATGCAATCAAATTGTAAGGAAATCCCGATTTAGGCACCTAATTATAACGATGTAGTCGCGTATCTATTCCCGTTGCCAAGAATAACGATTTGGACAATGTGACGTCACGGGGAGGGGAGGGGTGAGTCGAAATAGTGACCATTTGTGACTATAGGGGGGGAGGGGTCGAAAAATGAGCCTAAAAAGCGTGACGTCACATTTGAACGGCCCCTAGAAGGAAAGCCAACAGTGTTGGGCTACGTCATATCCTCAAGGACGCACACACTTGGCAGTTATCTAGCGGTAATCTACCGGCACCTCGCGTCTGCCTGGTTGTTGGAATCAGTTGCTCGGATGGCTCTGTCGCGGTCGGTTGCGTGATGCGGTGCGAATAATGATTGACACGTCCAGTTCCACAGTGCAGTGTAAATAATGGTTGACTCAGGGACGCTCAGGTCACGCCGCTGCCTGCTGGGTCTCGTTGCGCTGGCCGCCTTCATGTCTTGCATTATGTTGGTGCTCCTCTCCGGACCAGGTGGGCCCGCGCTGTGTGTCGTAAAACGGAGTATTCTGTTCGTAGGCAGTTGCTCCTTTCATCAGGAGGGCTCCTTGGACCTTATGGCGAATTTTCAAAATTGTTCGAATGGACTCTGCTCAACAGAAACGGATTCGTCTCAACGGAACCTGTCAACACACATCAATGTCATCGGCTAGGATGCGAAATACGGAAGTACCAGAGCTTGAAAAGGACTACTACTCGATGTATTTTGGGCCTACGGGAAAATTTTTTGAAGGCCACATACTTATCTCTTTTGCATCCAAGTCAATCAATGTGAAGCAAGATCACTTCGGGCAACTTAAAAAGTTCACTCTAAGTTCCCACGGGCCCACCCAGATAAAGTCGCTACCGCTGTTGAGACAAAAAAGAGACTTCGCTTTCGCCGTGCATTTTGGTTTGCTGTTTTGATTTCAAGAGCATGTGTCAGCTCATCTGTGCTCCGGCAGTATCAAATTGGCCAGCAGCATGGCGTTCAGCCACGCGTAGAATTTCACTACTTCAGGCTGGCTGCCGTCCTTCCACACTTCCTTGGCGAAAACGTCCTTTACTTGACTCTGAAAACAAATCGCAGAACGTAGCACACACGAACATTTGGGGTGCCTTTTTTCGTGGAAACGGCTTGAGACTATAACGATATGTACGGGATGCCACCTTAAATTTAAAATCCAATTTTTAATTAAGGTTTCCCATTGTAAAACTCCAAACATCGCTAAATAGTGTTAAGTTTGAGCACCGTGAGCCGCTCCCAGCTGGGCCATTCTCTTCTGCCGGGCAGGGCCTGTGCCCCGATATTTCCTGCAGCTCTTATCGCTGATGTAGGTTGTCTGTTTGTCTGCGTCAGTGCTCGCCACGCCGGTCCGCGCGCACGTCCGTGTAGACCTTATCAGTGCAATAGACAACACCCACCGCATGGTCCTATTCAAAAAAAATCTTATTTTACCTTCTCCTCGAGGAAGGATGTTAGCCACTCGTTCCTGTGAAACTTCAACTTAAATGTAAATGCAGGTAAATTTCTCAAACCTTGATTATTTAACACCGAAAAGACGGACGTAAATTAGTAAAGTGGCCTCTGTTGAATGCCGGAAAAGGCGGTGCAGAGGTTATGACCATTTCTTTGATCTCCAAGATAAAAAGTCGACCAAAAAAAAAAAAAAAAAAAACTCGACTGGATCGGGCGAACGGCGTCTCCTTCCGAAAACGACCAGAGCATCATTCTCAAAGAAAATGAGAGATAAGACATACAGTAAGGACTAGGCAAGGCATATATTCAGTGCTTAACCTAATCGTTGTTATAAAAAAAACAGAATGCGTGCTAAACTTGTGCCTATTCACCGAAGTGAACTACACTGTTCGGGATTATTTTGTGAAATTACGATTAATTGTCTGTTAAGGGGAGGTTCTGGTGAAAATCTTGCCATTTTCCAAATGGATCCTACAGTCATAATTTGTTCGGAATATAAAATTTTTCATTGGGGAGACTAAAATTTGACTTTTGAAGGCACATGCCAGGCTGTTAACCCAGTCGAAGAGTCTTTTTGAGCCTATTTTGGCTGTATCTTAAAAAATCTCCTTGCGCATACTATTTTGTCGTAAAAGGTTAACCTTGAAATTTTTCACTTTTTCGATTCATTTTCAAAAGATTCCGGCATGCAGAGCTCAAAACTTCCATTATATTATTAGTTATTAGCTTTTAAAGCTGAAAAGTCCCTAAAATTTGTCTATTTTGTACATTTTTGATCAATTTTAGTGAAATGCTTGGTTAGAAAGCTTGCGAATAAAAATGCAATTGACATTTTGAGATGTGCATGCCGGCATTTTTAAAAAATGAATAGAAGAACTGAAAAATGTCTAAGCCAACCTTTTACGACAAAATAGTATGCGCAAGAAGATTTTTAAAGTTATAGCCTAAATGGGAGAAAAAGGCTCTGCGACTGGGTTCAGGGCATAGAATGTGCCTCCCCAATGAAAATTTTTAATAAATACTTGATAAGACATCAAATTTTTAACAAATTTTCACAGTGGGACCTATTTAGGAGAAAATAGCATTTTCACCAGAACCTCCCCTTAAATTTGTACCACGAACTGCTCGTAAATTTAAAAAACGATCTGATCATCCACCTTTTTTCGTCAATTTACAAAAATATTCTTAAACTTACAAACTTTTTCCTCAAATTTTGGTCGTTTCAGGCATTTTTTCTTCCTATATAGTAAGGAAACAACGGACGAAAACGCACTTTTTCAGACTTGCTTTTACAATCATACTTGTAAATTAACGATTTCACCTGTAAATTTTAGAAGCAGTTTGTAAAATGATGAACAGATTGTCAATTTACAATTTTCTTTGTAAAAAAAACAGTGCAGTTCGTGGTACAAATTTAACAGGCAACTATTCTTAAAAATAAAGCTTCATTTGTAAGAAAACAAGTTTACGCGTTATAAAACGAGAATAGTCGTAAGATAACGATTTTATCAGTAAAACTACGATCTCTCGTCAGTAACAATAAGATTTCATCGTAAAATTACGAATTTATTCCTAAATTTATGAGTTAAGTTTGTCGAAAATATTACAAGTGTTCATGTCATGAATCTTGTAGTTAATTTACGAATTATTATTTGTAAAATTACAACACTAATTGTTGGGATTACTGTTGTAAAATAACGACTTCTCTTAACAGTGTACGCCTGGATCAATAGTTTTTTTATCCTACCAGCGTTGAATGCGACCCTCAAAGAATATGAATGAAACAAGTCAAGGTGTTGCCTCCAATATCTTTGTTTTAAACTTAATTGTTATTGTTCCTGTATTTGCAATATCCTAGACCTGAGCTCGGGGCAGGGGCTAATGCGGCGGGTAGCTGAACTGCAGTTACGCTCTGAACACTTGGACGCGCTGTACCGGCCCAGCATCGCCAAGATTGAACACCTGTCACAACGCCTCGACCAACTCGTGTCTGCCGACAACAAACCGTCCTGGATCGGCTTCGAGGTGATTGGCTTGGTTCACTCTACAAAAAATGTCCTGTCAACGCCGTTAATTTATTACCAATGTTTGCTGTTATGCAATTCACGGCGTTCACTGTGATCTCGGTTAGGGGCCGTTCAAAAATGACGTCACACTTTTAAGGGGGGGAGGGGTCAGAGAAATCGTGACCAAATGTGACATGGGGGAGAGGGGGATGAAGGCATTGTGACATCACACTTTAAAGTAGTGTAAAATTGCCAAATATAATAGGAGTGAGCCACCAAAAAATGAACTGAAATCAGCAATCTCCGCCTACTTCAGCTTAAACTGTCACTGGCTTAGGTATTTTAGCTGCACTTTCCTCAGATTTTTCCGAACAAGTTAGCGTTAGACCAGATTCGACCGGATTTGCCAATATGCAATCAAATTGTAAGGAAATCCCGATTTAGGCACCTAATTATAACGATGTAGTCGCGTATCTATTCCCGTTGCCAAGAATAACGATTTGGACAATGTGACGTCACGGGGAGGGGAGGGGTGAGTCGAAATAGTGACCATTTGTGACTATAGGGGGGGAGGGGTCGAAAAATGAGCCTAAAAAGCGTGACGTCACATTTGAACGCCCCCTAAACGCCGTGAATTGGAGCCTGATTTGCAGTCCTTCGGTGCTCCGAGGGGTGAATCACTCAGCGTTCTGGTGTACACATGAGTACAGGAGTACGCGTGAGTACACCTTGCTTTACTCCTAAATTTCACAATTTTAAATTTTTTAAGGCTTTATTTAGCGTTTTAAACGGCACTCAACGTTAAATCGGTCGTAAAACTAGGGCATTTCGTCCTTTTTAAACTTGTGAGTACACTGAGTACGGGCAAATTTGTACACATGAGTACACTAGTGATTCACCCCTCGCGGTGCTCAGCGGCGTCAAACTCACAGTGTTTACTGGGGACCAGATCACAGTGAACACCACGAACATGATCACAGTGAATCCCGTGAGCAGTTCACAGTAAACGCTGTGAATTGACCTACAGTGAAAACTGGTAATAAATTAACGGTATTTACAGGACATTTTTGGAAGAGTGTTATCGTCAATATAACTTTGGAGAAAGCTAAGCGCCTCAAATTGTGCTGGATGTTCTGGTGCTTCTGAGAAGATCCAACCCGGAAGTCACGAGGTGATCGAAGTACTCATACTGAAAAATTGAGCGTGTACTCAGGTGCACATTTAAGTACCCTATGTGTGTTCTCAGAAAACACACGTTTTCAGTGCAACAGAGCATCGCACGGCCATGGCAGATGGTGGTTTTGGGTGCCAATCTCTACACTAGTGAGGGATCTGAAAAGGTAGTGACGAATGACCGACTAGACTGAGATCGGCGTACTCCCCACCACGCACTGAAAGCCAGTGGTAAGTTTGCTTGCCACAAATTTGGCAAGCCATTTTGAATGCCAAAATTTGGCAAGCTTTGGTCGGAAATCTTCGCAAGCTTGCCAAATTTTGGCAAGCTGGGTGCACTCTCATTCCAGGAACGTGACATCACGTTGAAACGAACGTGACAAACTGTCACGTTCGTTTGAGCATTGTGTCACATTCGTTTGGGTGTGAATTGGCCGAAAATCAGCTCGTTCACATTCAAACGAACGTGACACAATGCTCAAACGAACGTGACACTTTGTCACGTTCGTTTCAACGTGATGTCACGTTCCTGGAATGAGAGTGTGGTATTTAAGGGCCAAACTTGCCAATTTTTGGCATTCAAAACGGCTTGCCAAATTTGTGGTAAGCGAACTTACCACCGGCTTTGCAGTGACTCCGGCCAAGGGCGCTGAAAGTACTTCATGAATCACTCTCACTCCAGGAGCGTGACACACACTGTAGAAAAAATCCACGGAAAAAGGTACAAGGCAGAGTCTGGTAGACAATTTTCCTGGTACCACCGTACCTCAGCCAGTACGGCTTTTGTGGTACTGAGTACGGTTTTTCATAACATGGGCTATTATGGGAAGCACGGTTTTTGGTACAGTCGTTCTGTGCGTGAGGTACGGTCCAGCCGTACCTTTTTCCTTGTAATGTACGGCTTTTTCAACAGCGTAACGTTCGGATGTGAATCAGCCACAAATTGGCTTATTCACTTTAAATCGAGCGAGACGATGCACTGAGAAAACCTTAGAAACTATTTTAAGCCTTACTAAGAAAAGCAGCTTGTTACAACAAAGTATTTTGAGCATACGTAAAGCATACAAAGCAAATACTTCGCAACTTAAAAACAATTTCTTCGTATAACAAAGTATGTACTTTGAACCTTACATTAGTTTGTATTGTGTATGCTCAAAATAATTCGTAAGGTTGAGCGTGTGTTGAAAGGAGCATGACACATTGTCACGTTCTGTTCAACGTGCACTCTCATTCCAGGAACGTGACAAAATGTCACGCTCGTTTAAGTATTGGTGTCATTCGTTTGGATGTGAATCGGCCAAAATTTCTCTTGTTCACATTCAAACGAACGTGACTTAACGCTCAAACGAAAGTGACATTTTGTCACGTTCGTTTCAACGTGATGTCACGTTCGTTTCAACGTGATGTCACGTTCGTTTCAACGTGATGTCACGTTCCTGGAATGAGAGTGTGCTGTCACGCTCCTGGAACGAGAGTGGAGTTTCACCAGTGTCCGCCGTTTGCGCAGGCTCAGCATGCGGTGCAAAATGTGAGCGCGAGGAACTCCACCACCACCATTCCGGCGCTGCAGCTGCCCAGCGCGGCGGACTTCCTGCCGCACCTGTCGGACGGCGCCGCGCTGAGGCCCGCCTTCTGCATGTGCGGCGCGCGGCGCAGCGGCGTGTCCATGGTGCTGGGCGTGCCGACGGTGCGCCGAGCGGTGCAGGACTACCTGCTGGGCACACTGGACAGCCTGGTCAGCTCCATGACCCCCGAGGAGAGCAGGGACGCCCTCATCGTGGTGTTCGTCGCAGAGGTACGTGCAGCACACTGGTAAAACTAAAGCGTAGTATTACCCACTGTTTTCAAGCGTAATCAGTTTACGCTTGAAATCAAGCGTAACAGGCACATCCGCCAAGATTTTCCCTATCTAAATGTATGGGGTAATTTCTAGCCTATGCTTGATTTCAAGCGTAATGTCTTCAAGCGTAACTTTACGCTTGACTCAAGCATAGAGTTACGCTTCAGTTTTACCAGTGCAGTCGGCGGCCAGGCGCGGATCCAGGATTCTTGCAAGGAGGGGGTACGCTGTGAAACCAAGTATGGAGACCCGCCGACTTCGTGTTGCGGAATATTTCTCCAACCTGAGTTTGCTGTCTCCACACTTCAAGTGTGGAGTAGCTAGCAGAGCCCCTATCCCAGCGTGGTGCATTAATGCAGAACTCAACGCTTGAAGTGTGCAAAGTCTGCACTTTGAAATGTGGGGGCTGAAAATTCCCTTACTCCGCATTTTAAGTATGGAGTTCACACACTTGGTTTCACAGCGGTCGCTCCTTTTTGCTTACTTTGTGTAAAGTGGTGAATTTTGCCAACATTTCAGGCGGGGGCAACATTTGAGGAGGGGGCAATTACGCCCGTTGTACCACCTCCCCTGGATCCGCGCCTGCCGGCAGCCTGGTTCGTGAACCGCTGATCGTGGGAAACACAACCAACGGGTCGACAAATATGTTGGATCATTGAGTGACTAGGTAATTTTCGATGCGCATGGTTTCTTTTGTAAGCATTGTTGCGCATTTTTGGTTATGCTGAGTGCACTGTCCTTCGAAGTGTGGTACAGCCTACAGATAATGTGTGGTAGGCGCAAAACTGTGGTTACCTAAATTTACCACGCGTGGAAATGCGGTCAGTACCCCTAAAAGCCAGTGGTCAACAAAGCACCACATGAAATGGTGAACACCACAGCAAATATGTGGTCAGTCCTCCATACCTCATAAAAGGGTGGTCTCACTGTTATTCTACTTGCGATACAGACCGCACTTTCTGCGCGATACAAATTTCATCGCACTTTTCTGTGATGCTCATTGCAAAACGGTGTGATGAGCTACAATATCGCAGAATTTTGCAATGATCATTGCAAAAAACTGTACTGATTTCAGATTTTGTGTTGTCATCATCGCAGTTTTTTGCAATAGTTCCCATTTTCATTGCAGAATTTTGTGCGATACGGAAGTCATTGCATCTCAGGAGCAATGATTCGTGGGAATCACATTTTGGATATCATCGCACGTTTTTGTGTTGAAAGTATCGCAACTTGGATAACAGTGCTTGACCACGCAATACATGAGGTAACGGCTAAATTATAGGCTTGTATACCACTTATTTGACGGGGTGTACTTCTTACCACATTTGTACGTGTGGTAGAATGCGGTAACCACACTTTTGGTCTCACCACAGCCAGATGTGGTAATTTCACCACACTTTCGATTTCAGTGTGGAAACGCAGTGACGCCCTTAAACCTTCCTGACATAAGCCAATCCAGACTTTGGAACCAACGTTTTTAACAAGATTCGCCCGGAATTATTCAGCTTTAAATTATTTATGACCATCATGTCACTCTCGCCACCAAAGATGCGCCGTTACAAATTTTTGTTGCAAAACTCAAGAACCTTACTAACGAGATCTGTAGAGTCTGCGTAGCTTGTTCAAACTGTCTCTTTGATAGTCCATATCTTCAAAACGAGTGCGATGCTGTTTGAAGATTCGATACGAAAACTTACCACAGCTCACCCCATAATCAGAGTGTGTCCCTAAAAATCTTTGTGTTTTTAGTGATATGTTCGCTGGGTCATTACACGGAAACATTAAGATGTCACTTAATGACAATATCAAGGCCAATATTCCTTATGAGGTTTTCATATGTATATCAGATGACATAGTTGTCACGCCCATGCAATAAGTATAGGAAGCTTTGATGAAAGTGTCATCACAATGTGATAACAGTTCCATCATTTGCATGTGATGAATATGTTTTCTCCGATTTTGTCTTAAAGTGACAACAAATTTTCACATGTTCCCTGCAGTGTACCTGACAGCATCGCGTTATCCTCACACTGTTAGAAATTAGCTCCGAAATTTTATGGAGAAAAACCCACTCTGAGAAAAAATGACGGTAAATCCTGGATAATTTTTTTGCCAAACTTTACCGTACTTCAAAAACCAGTATCCACCGTACAGTCTACAGTATTTTCCGTACTTGTTTTACAAAATATTCCGTAGTTTTTTAACAGTAGTTACCGTTCTTTCGTACAGTGCATGCCGTAGGAAGGACCAGATCTGGTCCGAACAAAGGCCGCTCCCAAGAATTGTCCACATCAGGATCTTGAAAAAAGGGGGTCGACCAACTGAAAAATTTTATTGCACCTTTCGATAGGTCTTGTCAAGACCTTTTCAACGAGTGGTCGGAAGGGGGGTCCAGGAGTCCGCCTTCAGCAGTTATGTACATTAGAATCTTGAAAAATAAGGGTCGACCGACTGAAATAAATTATAGCAGTTTTTGATAGGTATTAAAAGTGCGGGATGGCCGGGTTAAAAAGTACGGGATTCCTTGTAAAAGAAGTATGGTGTTGCCTGTAAAAAAAGTACGGTATTGCCTGTAAAAAAACGACGGTTTTTCCTGTTAAAAAAAGTACGGTGAAGTCTGGAGTAATCAGTACAGGATTTACCGTGATCTTTTCTCGCAGTGCCCTATAATCACGTTCATTCTCCATTCATTTTCCATTTTTTTCGGAGAGATTTTCTCAGGGCTTATACAGATGTTCTTCGGAGCATTTCTTGGGTCCAGCCAGATAGGAGGTAAAATGCAAGTCTTTTCTCAGATATATTAAAGAGGACTTCGCTGAAGCATTTTTTTGGTCTGAAATGGTCAAAGAAGGGACAACCTCATTCGAGCTCATTTGACTTATATCCTGTAGCTTTCCCTTAATATTATGAAAACTGAGCTCAAGAAGTAGGGGTTCACCCTTCCCTCAACTTTTAACTGGTTGCAAACCTTTTTTCGTGTTTTTGTGATAGTGCAGCATGCATTTTTGTTCAAAATTCCGAAATTTTTCGGAGAAAGCCCAGAATTTGCATTTATGGAGAGCTCCATGCAGAAGTTTCGGAAAAACTCTATGATTTTTCCATTTATTTTCGGAATTTTCTGACAGTGCATGCTGTCACTGCAAATCCATTGGCAAGTTCGCTCCAAGTAAGCGAAATGCCAAAATTTGGCTTACGAGGTCAGCACGCCGAATTTCGGCATGCTAAGAGTTGCAAGGAAACATGCCTGAAGATTGGCAGTGCCTGATAGCTCGTGGCGCTAAGCTTTTCGGCGTGTTTTCCTCCAGACCGACGTGGAGTACGTTATGCAGTTGGCGGGCGAGATCCGAGACCGGTTCGGCGACGAGGTTCAGTCCGGCCTCATCGAGCTCATCTCTCCGCCGGCCTCGTTCTACCCAGACCCCAGCAGCCTGCGCCTCACGCTGGGTGACTCGGTGATTATTACACTTATTTTTATTTTATTTTTACATCGAGTATTTAATAAACTTTTTACATGTGAAGGTGGAGAGGGTGCGGTGGCGCTCCAAGCAGAACCTCGACTTTGCGTTCCTCATGATGTACGCTCACCCGAGAGGCACGCTCTACGTGCAGCTGGAGGACGACATCGTGACCAAGAGGGGCTTCATGTCGACCATGAAGAATTTTGCGCTGGAGAAGACTGCGCAGCGCGCACCTTGGTTCGTTCTCGAGTTTTGTCAGTTGGGTTTCATTGGTGAGATTTGCCTTTCTTCCACGACCTATTTGTCTTTTCTGTGCACACTAAACGTTATGCGCAGTCTTGTGCGAGACGTCCAAGGTTAACAAGCAGATGAACTTTTGTACGAGTTTCACACGAAACGCTGCAAATTTTCCTTGATTGTCAAACAAAGTTACGTACAGTTTCGTGCACTCTCAGCACATGACTTTTTGCTCAATAATACGTATACACTGTAAAAAAAATTCTGAAATTTCAGTACAATTTGTTCAGATTTGAGTTAATGGGAATTAAAAATTCTTTTAATTTTTTAACGGGAAACCTGAAATTTTAGATACCCGGTTAGTCAAATTTTAAGCAAAAGGTCTAAATTTGAAAAGTTTTCAGACTTGTCATCTGAAACTGTTTTCATAAATTTTGGTATGAAAATTTTGACAGTTGTTACTAACAAGTCAGCGTAAGGCGTTGTATCAATTTATCGGAAATAATAATGGTACAGGCTTCACGCGATTTGCTGGTAAGGTAGAAACCGAAGATTGTCCGAACTTGCACTCGGGTAGCCGAAAGGAGCTTATCTTCCGAGAGAGTTCACGCGGCACGGCTTCCCCCGCCGCCAGGCAGCGCCCGTAGCGCTGTGGTACCGAAACTTCTCGTAACCAAAAAGGGTCCCCGGGTTCGAACCCGGGCCGAAGCGAACAAGTGTAAATGGAAAGAAGGACCGTCACACGTTGGTGGGGTTCAAATTGTTCTCTTTTTGATTTCTTTTTCTTTGTTTATAGACACTTTTATTTAATATTTCGTGCATCTAAAATGTTGTTCAGACAAGTAGCTAAATTTGGAATTTCAACGAAGGGCTGAAAATTACTTGAAATTTTAACCATAGTCGTTTAAAAATTCAGACTAAAAAAATTTTTCATAATACGGGACTTTTGACAATTACGCACAGTACATTTAGTATTAATTAAATAGTGAATCGCAAATTTGTTCTTGTGAGTAATTTTTGAAAGGAATTAACTTTGTCATACTTAAACAATATCAAGTATTATCCTTGCTTTAACGAACACGTCGGCAGGGGGGCATGAGATAAGTCCCTAAAGTGCTGAGAGTGCACAAAATGTTTATCTACACCAAAAAAAAAAAACTATCGTCTTTCACAAATCTGTTCAAAAACATTTAGTGTGCAGACCTGAGTACATTGGCTCAGAAACGTTTATATTTCAGGGAAAATGTTCAAGTCAGTGGACCTGCCGTTTTTGGTTCAGTTTTTCCTCATGTTCTACAACGATAAACCTGTAGACTGGCTGTTGGATCATTTTATTTTCACCAAAGTCTGCACCCCAGAAAATAATCCTGTAGGTATATGGCTTCTCATTTCTGAAATGAAACCACCTAAATACTTTCTAAAATCCTTGACCTTTCGAACGCACCTTAACGAAGGTCGCTGATGTACACCAAAATATTTTAAGTAGTGCACGTCCTGAGAGCTTTAAGACTGTGTATTTTGCCCGCAGCGGTGTCAGAAAGCTAAGAAAGAACTTTGGATACAATACAAACCTTCACTTTTTCAACATATGGGCAAACACTCTTCCCTGCGTGGTAAGATCCAAAATCTCAAGGTTAGTTTTCAGTGTTCGAATTTCCATGTGTTAGGGCTGCGGTAAGCTTGCTTGGTAAAGGCTACACTGCTTACTGAAATGTTTTTGATCACCAGGACACTCAGTTTGGGAAGCTGCCACTTTTCTTTCCACACGATAATCCCCCTGCCGACGTGGAGTCTGACATCGCGCCCTATCAGCAACACACACTTCTTGAAGCATACATGGGACGGTCTTACTTCTGGGGACTTTCGCCCCAGCCAGGGAACACACTGACGTTCCGCTTCAAGACACCTGTCTTCATTAAAAGGTATGACTCGGCTCTCATTTGCACCACGTAGCCGTAGTATCTTGCTACATCGTTTTAGGTTTGCCTCAGTTAAACATATAGGTGGTATCAAAAGCTTTGCAGGTTTCGAATAAACGAGGTAACTTTTCTCACTGTGTAAATTTTTACGTAGCATTTGACTTTTGTATCACAAAATTCTGCAATGATCATCGCCCATTTCTGCAATAAAACTCAGAATTATCGCAAAAAAAAATGCGATGATGACAACCAAATCTGCAACCATTACATCTTTTTGCAATAATCATTCCAAATTCTGCGATACAGCAACCTGTCGCATTTGCAATGATAATCACAGAAAAGTGCGGTCTGTATCGCAATTCTAATAGTATTCGCGCCCGCTGCCACTGAGGGTCGCAGGACCACACGAGGGGATGTCGCGGGTCTGGCGCGGGTGTTTCGAGTCTCGCGGGGGTGCGACGGCTGGACCTTGTAGATGTCGTGGAAGTGGTAGCCGCGAGTCGCAAGCGTTCTGTAGAAGATGATTTCTTTCGGGATGCCCTATCTACTTACAAACTATTGACTTGAGAAAAGTCACTCTGTATTCCCAAAGAACACGAAACGCTCACAGTGACGTCATTTTGATGTCAATATGACAAATAGTAGTCAAAATTTCGACCAAAAAAAAGCATCATTTTGACGTCCTTAGACTGTTTGGTGTTTTTTGGGTTATGAGAAAAAGTTAGTTATTATTTTATTTTCAGAGCAACTTTAACAAAAAATTGAATGTTTAGTTTAAGTTATTTCAGTTCTCTCCAAGCGTTTACAAGTCATATGTGTTCAAAGTGTACACTGAGAATGAAAAAGTCATGATCAATACCCAATTTTGGGCGAGGTTTACTTTCTCACCCAAAATTAGGCGAGGAAGCTTTCCTCACCCAAATTTGGGCGAGGAAAATTTCCTCACCCAAATTTGGGCGAGGAAAATTTCCTCACCCAAATTTGGGTAATAAAGAATTCCTCACCCAAAATTTTAGTCATGATCATGACTCTTTCATTCTCAGTGTAAATAAATGTCCAATTTGCGTGGCCTGTTGGAGTGCCATGGGTGAGCGATTCTCACGTTTCGGGGTAGTTTTGGCGTCTCTGATTTGCCGAAAGTGAGAAATATCCAATTAAGTTTTTCTGATTATTGGGGTCCTGGATGATACTAGAGTTATGGCAATGGTATTTATAGTAAAGACCTTGTACTATCTTCCTAAAAACATGAGCCATAAGGTATTCCCATACGTTTTAGTGGGTGTTTTGATCACGGAAATTACGTTATCACGGAAGTTACAAAGTGTGAAAATCGGCTTTAACGGCTGACTCGGGCTTGCTGTGGCTTAAAAGTCGTTCCAGGGTCAAATGATACTCTAAGCCCGACATTTCAGCGGAAAACTTTTTCACCTAGTGCTGCTGCAACATTGGGTAAAGGGTGCCACGGAAGTTACAGGTAATTGTTGATACACGCCATTTTATAATGCTCTAGCCCGCTTTGAGACCGTGTACAGCATCTTAGATTTCCGCGACCCATGCAATTATATCCCAGGGACTCCACTTTGATGGCTTGTGTCATGGAAAGTTAAAAGTTTGGCTTGGGGAGAAGTCCAGAGCTGCCTTTTCGAAATTTGTGTAGTTAAATTGAATATACGGAGGACATTTTTCGTTGCAGCATAAGTACCTTTGAAAGAAGTCTGGCCTATTGGTCTTCGGTTGAAATTAGCTCGAGACATGCCAAGCTTCGAATCCCCATCGACAGTGGGCAGCATTTTCGAACCACACCGCCACACTGGGGGCGGAAATATGAGTATGTTCTCTTTGGACAATCACGGAAGTTACATTTGGGGTATTCCAAACGCTACGTAGACCAATCCAACGAACGAGAACTTTTCGAAATGTGTGCGTTTAGTGGGCAATGGCCCTCCCTAACATCAGAAACAAACCCCCATGTCGATATCTGCGCTCGTTTGGGCACAGGAGTCAGAAGAAACGAAACTACCCCGAAACGTGAGAATCGCTCGGGTCTCAAAAGCAAAGAAAATTTTTGAGCGCACATTTAATTTTGTTCAGAACAACCATTGCTAATAAACAGAGTTTGCTTTTCTCTTTCTTTGAAGGTTTTTGTTCAGAAGTGGCAATGCTGAGCATCCATCAGACAAATTGTTGAATACTTCAGTAGAAGTTAAGCCACAGGAGAATCGTTTGGATCAAGGGCTTGACCTAAATGGGACTCCTGATGGGTTCCTAGTTATTGGTAAGTAATCTAGCTTTATAACACGTTCAATTAAGATTCGGAGTTGTACCGCCATGTACTTCTACTTGTTCAGGTCAATGTAATGGCAATGGAGTATGTGAAGGCGATGCTGCTAGTACACTTGGAGCCATCTCTGTATTACGCCTTCATATTCATTCCAAAATTTTGAAGTCCGTGGTTCTTAGCGAGGTAAGTCTGCACGAGTTATGTCATCCCGTGGTACTATTGGATATCATCAGCATTGCACGAGCATTTGCCTGCACTCTAAATTACTACGTAGATCTTTCGTTCATAGCTATGTACAAAATTGAGCGTTTATAAAATTGCACCTGATTTATGAACAAATTAGTACATAACTGGCATATGCACAAATATGGCAATAGTAATGGACAAAAAGTCTATAGTCGTTCAGCCTGCATACTGGATTGAGTTAAAATCCTATTTTATCATATGTTAACAGTGTTCCGGCTTACCAATTATATTGCAATTTTCCAGATTCTTATTGAGGCCAACAACGGCAGATGACGTTTTCATGCACCAGCACCGCCGGCTTAAGGTGTTCCCACACTCTGACTGAATTAGATGTGCTTTACGTCACCAAAGGGGCTAAATCGCCGATTTAGTGGTGAAGTAAAGTGTGACGATGCGTGCTATGTACTCCTCATCTCTCAAGGGACAATTAAGAAGTAGTTCAGTACAGACGCAGTTTAAAAGTGTTTATTATTCTTCTTAAAGACAGTGTGCTTGTACAAGAAAGTGCTTGTTTGCACTCTTAAAACCTTACGAAGTATTTTGAGCATACGTATAACAAACTGAAATACTTTGTTATACGAAGAAATAGTTCGTAAATTACGAAGTATTTTCTTTGTAAGCTTACGTATGCTCAAAATACTTTATTATACAAACTACTTTTCTTTGTAAGGCCCAAAATAGTTTGTAAGGTTTTCTCAGTGATGAACGTAAAACATACATCAACTGACTGGCCATTTGGAAACAGACATTTAACAGAGGTCGTCGTTTTGCGCTAAAAGAAAAGTGCGTGTGTGTGAATGTGGTGGAGGGGGCTGAGGACATGTACAGTAGTTTAGACACCTTTATTTCTCCCAGTGGCCGTGCCGGCTCCAATGTCCTGACTGCACTGTTGGCGCAATTTCTATAGGCGAAGCCGTCTTCGGAGCTCCCAATACTCAATGTCCTCGGGATTGTGAAAGGCCGGTTTGTCATCGCGTTTCTTGAATGAAGATGCACTACGTCGTGATGCAGGTCGGCAACTGTGAAAACACACTGACAAGTTAGCCATTCCCTTGTTTATAAATAGACTTCTCTGTCTGTATTTACCAAAGAAAAAAATATTGAGGTGTTTTAAAATATTGTGGAGAGGCGTTAAGGGGAGGTTCTGGTGAAAATGCTATTTTCTCCTAAATAGGTCCCACTGTGAAAATTTGTTAAAAATTTGATGTCTTATCAAGTATTTATTAAGATTTTTCATTGGGGAGGCACATTCTATGCCCTGAATCCAGTCGCAGAGCCTTTTTCTCCCATTTAGGCTATAACTTTAAAAATCTTCTTGCGCATACTATTTTGTCGTAAAAGGTTGGCTTAGACATTTTTCACTTCTTCGATTCATTTTTTAAAAATGCCGGCATGCCCATCTCAAAATGTCAATTGCATTTTTATTCGCAAGCTTTCTAACCAAGCATTTCACTACAATTGATCAAAAATGTACAAAATAGACAAATTTTAGGGACTTTTCAGCTTAAAAAGCTAATAATTAAAAATATAATGGAAGTTTCCAGCTATGCATGCCGGAATCTTTTGAAAATGAGTCGAAGAAGTGAAAAATGTCAAGGTCAACCTTTTACGACAAAATAGTATGCGCAAGAAGATTTTTGAAGATACAGCCAAAATAGGCTCAAAAAGACTCTTCGACTGGGTTTACAGCCTGGCATGTGCCGTCAAAAGTGAAATTTTAGTCTCCCCAATGAAAAATTTTTTATTCCGAACAAATCATGACTGAAGGATCCATTTGGAAAATGGCAAGATTTTCACCAGAACCTCCCCTTAACGTAACCTTAAGTTGACATTTTGTTTTTATCTGGATTATGAACGGTGGGCTTTTAACAACTCTTGTGGCGCTTTTGGCACTTTTCGTTGTAATTGTGCCGTTGTACCCACCAGCTTAAGGACCGCGCAATCAGTATCTCTAGCAGAAAGGTGATGCTAGCTGCACACAGACCAATGCCCAGGAGAATCAGGAACGGGATGAGCTGCCGCATTCGCATGACCGGATCCTGGGAATGCGCCACGTCCAGGACCTGCAGACAATGCACGCAGTGTGTTCACATCCGTTTCGAAACCAGGAGAGTAGCCAATGTCGAGGGGTCCTATTCAATAGATCTTATCTGCGCGTTCCCCCCAAGACAATCTTATTTTAAACGCAGGCGAATTTCACTCAGTTTGATCATTTGATACAGCTACAAATCAATATCATTTGTGATAAAATTCACTGAAATGTGGAGATGACAGATCAAAGAAACCAAAAAGTACATGTAAAAATATATTCCGCTTACTCTCGTACGTGTCCCAACTGGTCAAACTGGGTGAAATCCGCATGCGTTTAAGATGAGATTGTCTTGGGGGGAACGCGCAGATAAGATCTTTTGAATAGGAACCCTCAATGTACCAGAAGGAATGGCCGCTGTGGCTGTTTTCAACAGGGAGGGCCTTCTAGCCTTAGCCAAAGTCTGCACTGAGAATCCAATTGCTATGAGTATAGCGCCAATCGGTGCAATGCATTTGAAGACGTTTTCATTGCACCAATTGGTGCAATGCTTTCGCATTACGTGAAGTGCAATGCCTTCTTATGCATCACACTCTTAAAACCTTACGAAGTATTTTGAGCATACGTATAACAAACTAAAATACTTTGTTATACGAAGACATAGTTCGTAAATTACGAAGTATTTTCATTGAAAGCTTAGGTATGCTCAAAATACTTTGTTGCCCAAAATAGTTTGTAAGGTTTTCTCAGTGCAGCATAGGTCATTTTCGGGGCGCATTGTACGTAAGGTGCCAAATGACTATGGCATTGATCGTATGGTGCAATATCTCCATGCGTTGCTTGCTCCATACGTGCCAAACCCATAACGTTTGAAATCTCAGTGTGACGACGAAAAGCCGTTAAGACGTATCCTGTACAAAGCTAGGTACGCCTTTAACGCCGAAATGGAAACCGTTAGAGAAGCTACAAATATTAATGTGTTCGAAAAATCGGTAAAAATTTCTGTAAGTGTTCAGCCACCTCCTCATAACTGCTACATCATCACCTGATCCATTATGCGAATTTCCATGCAAATTCTTGCAAATGTAACCTTTCCGTGGGCTACCGACCACTGACTAATTATTTTATACACCCGAAGTTTTGCCTCTTCCCAGGACAAATAAATGAAATGAATGAGAGAAAAAATGACACCTTCATTTTCCTTGATACCGCAATGTCCATCGACAACCCTCGCTATGTGTCGCGGTGCGACATATCGACCCTTTCATTGGCTGAGCGATAGCGAAGCCCGTTACTCCAGTGGGGTTAAAAAACTTTTTCTGTCTGCGTGTGTGCGTGTGTGTGTGTGCACTACTACTCCTAAACGGCTCGACCGATCTGCCTGAGATTTTGCAGGGTCATTAGGTATGTCCTTGGCTCGCCACACACCAAAATTCAGCTTTATATCTCAATCCATTCGGTCATAAAAGCCAAAAAACACTTCAAAAACGGCAAAAAAAAACTTTTTTGGTACTTTTAAATTTTTGTCAAGTTTCATGTCGTTTTATATGGTTTTGAGGCTGCTGATGACGAAAATAGAACCCATTTGGACCTCCGACCGAAAGTGAAGTCCCATTAGTGAAGATTTTGATGACCAAATGCTCTCTTTGAGATCACGCCCATTTCTACGGTCTGCCTAGGAAGGCAGCCTGCCGAAGGCAGGTTAGCGCCGCAGGCCGAGGTAGGTGTATACGCCGGGCGTGGATTGTCGAAACTGGCGGCGCAGCATCGCGAAGCCTGTTACGACAAGACACGGTCTGGCGTACACCTGCCTTGTGGAAAATAGGGTTAATTGCGTATCGCGATACCTAAAAGCGGAATTCGCTCATCACTGCCCTTACTACTGCAACACCATTCAGACAAGAATGCTAGCCTACGGAAAATATTGTCAGTTATTGTCATTGTTTATGGATTCCTCCGCAACTTTTTGCCACAGTTTAAGATTAAGAAAACAATATCGTTCAAAGAGTGATAAGATTAAGCTGTAGCTCAGCGAACTGAAACTCCCTACAAAAACTCAAAAGGACAGACATTCCTCGCTTTTATTGCGGTAGGTTGGCCCAAACCTTGGATTGCGATTTGTCACTACAAGATGGGTCGCGGATCGACGGTGGGTTGCAGTGATATTCGCCTCTTAAAGTTTAAGTCAGTTGGCTTCGCCTAAAAAGTTCTGTAGTAGGCACGGTCAAGGTAAATTGTTGACCAGACGTCTTGTAGCGTACTCTTCTCTCCCAGCGTGGGTGAGAAGACCTCACTGGTAAAACAAAGGCATAAAAATTACGCCCTTTAGGGCATAAATACTCTTTTACGCCTTTGCAAGGGCATAATCGTTTTATGCCCTTGGGAAGGGCGTAAATGGTATAGGAATTTCAAGCAAAATTTTAATGCCCTTCCCAAAGGCATTAACGATTTATGCCCTTTAAGGGCGTAAATCGTTTACGCCCTTTAGGGGCATAATTTTTATGCCTTTGTTTCACCAGTGCTGCCAAAAGAAAGTGTGGCATCCGAGGGTGCAACCACCTGAGAAATCCTGTGTCCTTTTTGGCACCTAAAATCCCCTGAAATCGTAAATTTGAAACCAAAGAGAGCAAAAACGTGACAAAATTCGGGCCTCAAACTAGGCGAAATCTTAAAGAAATCTCTTCCCTTCAGTGTGTAGTCCAACATCGAAGGTGGTTGCCCCCTCCGTGGTGTTTACCTTGCTGTCGAACCAGTGCATGGTGAGTCCGGCTTCGTCGAGGCGGCTGGTGGCGACGCTGAAGGGCCGCAGCAAGGGGGACCTTCGCCGCACCACCAGGTTGTAGGCCATGCTCACCGAGAAGCAGTAATTGCGAATCACGTGGAAGCGCGGCGCCTGGGCGAGGTCATGACCATTTTGAAGGGGGTGCACCAGCTCCAAGTTGCTTGGAATATGTTAAGTTGGTGTAATTATGGGACACGGGGTGAAAATGGGACAGCTGTTTCTTGGTCTAGATTTGATATTTTAGGACTGATGCCACTTCAAATGTGATGCCTTCATTGTTAAAATAACATTTGGTATGGCATGAGTCCTAAAACGTCAAATCTTGACCAAACAGCTGTCCCATATTTATCCCGTGCGATGTCCCATAATTACCCCAACTGACCCTTGGCTACAAAGGTTGCCCCGGTCCTTACATTTCTGGAATTAATAACATTGATTTGCAGGTACATAGTCTACTCTAAAGTGTAAAAGAAAAAAACTTTCATCCGAGGTACGTGACATTACATTGAACAATGTCATGTTCCTTGAGCATTGTGTCACAGTCGTTTGAAAGTGAATGGCTGATCCATGACCGAGTTCATGACCAAACGAATGTAACAATGCTCGAAGGAACGTGACATTTTGTCACATTCGTTTCAACGGGATGTCACGTTCCTGGAATAAGAATGTACTATTTGACTCTTTTCCTGAGAAAGAGATAATGTAATTTTATTACTTCATTCAACAACAGAAAGTGACTAATCGCCGCAGAGTATTATATAGTGTCAAGCCTTTATGTTACCTTACGGGGTGGAGTAAAAAGCACTGCCCAGGCCTGACACGCATTTCGATCTGTTAAAATGCCTCTGTCGGGGTTGACGAAGAATCTTCTGAACATGGGCACGGCATTGGAGTAATCGAACATGCGCACACGCGCCATCAGGGCTTTCTCGGATGAGTCAAACTGAGCCTTCCTGGTGACATTCATTTGAGAAACAGGTTCGTTGACCCATTCGATTTGTTTTTGGTTTACAACTAAGCAAGGGGCTTTTAAAGATATATATATATATATCGAACTGCTTGATTCTATGTACAGAAATATTTAGACGTGCTACCGTTGATAATGTTTTGCAGTGACTAGCTTATGGCCAGGACGATTTAAATACTTGACAATCAGCCTTCAAGTGTGTTTGGCTGCAAAGGGTAGATAAAGCCCAGATTTGTTTTGTTTCATCACACAATAAAATGACTTGCTTGAAGTTTCGGAGCTGGTCCGCGGACGAGTACACTGGTAACGGCGACTGGTCCAGTTCTTCTACCGTCCGGAAGAGTGTGTCCACCGATTCTGAGGAGTTGATGCTTTGCAATGCCGCCATGTACAACGTCGCCAGCACTAAACCCGAGAAGGACCAGCAAAACATGAAAAACCTGAGTAACCAAAACAAACAACTGCAGTTAAATATACGGACTCGCTGAGAACGAGTACTATGGGCCCAATGAACAAAGACCGATGTCGTTTGGGTCGCTCGAACAAAGACCGATCTCCATTCCCTAACCTCTCAACGCGTTTATTTTGAAGTCCCGGAACAATCTACACGTTTTGATTCGACACAAATTAGTTTTAGATACTTATTCTCTAGAAACCAAACCTGCAATATTTTGTTAGACTTAGATGTTTATTGCGAGAAGTGGCGAACGCAGAAGCAACAGATATGGAGATCGGTCTTTGTTGGAGCGACCCGAAGGAGATCGGTCGTTCTTCGAGCGACCCAAAGGACATCGGCCTTTGTTAATAGGACCCATCGAGTAGCGCGCTGTAAGGGATGCACATGGCCTTCTCCTATGCAACATAAGCTTTCCCTTTAGCAAAGCAACTCGACATGGATTTCTTCCTCAAAATAAGTGCCGATGGGGAGTATTTTTCCACGTAAAGAAAGGGGACTGCAAATTCTGCACTTCGAAGAGGGCAGACTGAAAATTCCGCACCTCCGCATAAGAATTGTAACTTACCTCGGAAACGCATCAAAACGTTATCGTCAGTGATAAAGTTAACCCGTAACTTACGACTTCTTTTCAAGAAGATGAGTTATTTTTCTAGCTTGTCGAATTTGTCTTTGGAAGTACGTCCAAAACTCTCAGCGAACATTACCTTATGTGACGGAGTGAAAGCAAACACTACAAATCCAAAGGTCAGATTCTCGCCACTGCAAAGGCGAGACATGAAGTCTCGCCAAGTTTAGGTCAGACCTGAAAGTCTCGCTAAAATTTGGTCAGACAAAAAAAGTCTGACCGCAAGATGGCGGGACTTTTGTGCCTGACCGTCCCCCAAAGGCCGTAATGGGCCGGACGGTTCCGGCCTAAAGACCGTGGTCAGACCCGAAAGTCTCGCCATTTTGTGGTCAGACTTTTGTGTCTGACCATTTTGTGGTAAAACTTTTTTGACTGGCCAAATTTTGGCGAGACTTTCAGGTCTGATCAAAACTTGGCGAAACTTAAAAGTCTCGCCATATTTTGGCACCAAGTCTTTCCACCCAATTTGCAGTGAAGTCGGTTGGATGTTTGGGGCCGTGCTCCACTTGGTTTCACAGTGTTCATCCCGCTCTGATTCAAACCTGGGAGCCCAGTTAGCAGGCATGGCGCTGATGGAGCTGACGAGGCTCTGCAGGGCGGCCAACGCGCTGTCCATCAAGGCCCTGCTCCTGGACAGCAGCCAATGCGACAGGGCTGCCACTACATACGACGCCAGCACGGCCGCCCAGGACTGCGTGGTGAATTCCCCGACCACGGGCCGCCACACCGAGGACTGCCGGTAGCCCGTGGGCAGGCACCACGTGGTGCAAGCTGACTGGGCCGTGGGTGGCCGGCCGTGGTAGGGCATCTGAGAGAGAATCACTTTCGGAATCGGGCATACACTGGTATGTTGGCATCATTTTGTCGTTTGTCAGATGTTATTGATGTGAAGTTAACAGTGGCGGATCCAGAGGCAGCCTGTGGTGGTGGTGATGGGGGGCAGAGTAGCACTTTTTGCCTACTTACAGAGGGGTCATTCCATATAAGATTTACACGGATCTGGGCGACCATTGACGATTTCGACCAAATTTGGCACGAAGGTAGCCCTAGGGGTCAGGAACATGCCCATAAATTTTTAGGTCGATATCTCAAGTGGTTTGGTCAGAATCGGCATTTTAATTTTTTACTCTTAAAAAATTTGTAATTTCTTCAAAATGGCTCAAAAAGGGCCCATTTTTTGTCGGATTTTCATGCGGTAAAGCTATTCCGACGTAAAATGCGACGAGGAATCCGAATCTGCCCTCAGATTTGGTCTAGCGTGATTACCAGTGGAGTAAATTGCGAAAAACATGAAAATGAAGCCTTATTTCACGAGCCTGTCTACCCTAGTAGAAAATCCAAATCTGCACTTCCGAACAGGCTAAATTGTAGTTCATTTCATGGGCTTTCCATATCTGTATTCAAAAATAGTGGGTGTGGCCCTCCCTTAGGAGCTGTAGGCCGCAATAAACAACTCTGCACTCAAATTTTGACTAAATAAAATACACATTTTTGAGCTTTGAAGCTCAGGGGTTTGAGCTACACTCGTGCCGCTTTACCTTCGAAAGGGAATTTTAAAACGAATCCAACGGTACCAATATGAGCCCGATCGGGTAAGTGGATCCCAAACTTCGCCCAAATGCCGCTAAAATTCAAAATTTGCACTAGATGTTTTTCCAATTACGAAAGTAAGTAAACGGCAGCATTTTAACTTGTCAAATGTGTACTCATTTACTCAAAATTTCATAAGCTTTCGATTGGTATATAGAAAAAGTTGGGTTTCGTCCTCTAAACACAAGATTTCTCAATTTTACTGAAGCTATGCACGCGAATCGGCTCAGACGCCCCGTGCAGGTAGGCAGCCCATCCGGCGCGCAGGCTTTCCGTCTGTTTGGGGTTGTTTGGCTGTACCCGCCCCATCCCTCGCCGGACCCCGCCCCACTCGCCCCTCTCCGGACCCCACCCCGCCCAACCCCCTCACCCCACCCCGCCCTACCCCGCCCCACCCCCACCCCGCCACCGCACTCCGCACCTTCAACTCACTTCGGCGTTTAGGCTTCCGCGTCCATCTCCCAGCCGGCAGTCTCTTGGAGTTCTAGCTTTGTTGTTGCTTGTCGATATTGTTTTCAAAAAACATATAAAAATTTCAACTAGCGTACCTCGTCTGGAGACCAGCAGCAGGGGAGTACCGTCATGGATCGAGGTATGTGTCTGTTTACACCTCTACTCCTAGGTTATGGTGTCTTTGTTGTTTTTTTGTCTCAGTGATTTTCTTTGCTTTTTTAGGCTCTTTCCATCTCATTGAATTTTAATAAGCTCTCTTTGGTCTTAAGGGGGGACCCTGGTGAAAAAATAGCCAAAATTCCAAAAAATAGTATTTTCAAAGTTCATAGATAAAAATGTGTATAGAAGGTTTCAGATTCAACAGGTTGAACACCTTTAAGCTAAGTGGGTAGTTTCTTTATCATTTGGAAGGAAATAACATTGAGATCAGTTGTCGTTGGCTTCTATGCTCAACTTCACAGCTTTGCTCAGTCGAGAAAAAATTTTGTCGTAGAAAGACTTTCTGCGTTCCTGGTTGACACCTACATGAGTCGTCTTGCATGAACTCTATTCATTGATGACTTGTCGACAAATTTTAGTGACGGAATCTTGATATCAGCCCTACTGTTTTTTAAACACACCTAAAAGCTTGAAAAAGGAGATTCTGTCACTAAAATTTGTCGACAAGTCATCAAGTTCATGCAAGACGACTCATGTAGGTGTCAACCAGGAACGCAGAAAGTCTTTCTACGACAAAATTTTTTGTCGACTGACAAAGCTGTGAAGTTGAGCATAGAAGCCAACGACAACTGATCCCAATGTTATTTCCTTCCAAATGATAAAGAAACTACCCACTTAGCTTAAAGGTGTTCAACCTGTTGAATCTGAAACCTTCTATACACATTTTTATCTATGAACTTTGAAAATACTATTTTTTTGGGAAATTTTTGGGTATTTTTTCACCAGGGTCCCCCCTTAAGACCAAAGAGGGCTTATTAAAAATTTAATGAGATGGAAAGAGCCCAAAAAAGCAAAGAAAATCACTGAGACAAAACAACAACAAAGACACCATAACCAAGGAGTAGAGGTGTAAACAGACACATACCTCGATCCATGACGGTACTGCCTGCTGCTGGTCTCCAGACGAGGTACGCTAGTTGAAATTTTTTTATGTTGTTGAAAACAATATCGACAAGCAACAACAAAGCTAGACACTCCAAGAGACTGCCGGCCGGGAGATGGACGCGGAAGCCTAAACGCCGAAGTGAGTTGAAGGTGCGGAGTGCGGTGGCGGGGTGGGGGGGAGTCGGGGCGGGGTAGGGCGGGGTTGGGTGGGGTGAGGGGGGTTTGGGGGGGGTGGGGGGGGGTTGGGCGGGGTGGGGTGAGGGGTAGGGCGGGATGGGGTGAGGGGGGTTTGGGGGGGGTGGGGTGAGAGGGTTGGGCGGGGTGGGGTCCGGGGAGGGGGAGTGGGGGGGGGCCCGGCGAGGGATGGGGCGGGTACAGCCAAACAACCCACACCTCATCCAGGAACGTGACATCACGTTGAAACGAACGTGACAAAGTGTCACCCTTGAGCTTGTGTCACGCGTTGAATGTGAAAGAGCTGATTTTCGGCCAATTCACACCCCAAAAGAATGTGCACAATGCTCAAACGAAGTGACAGTTTGTCACGTTCGTTTCAACGTGATGTCACGTTCCTAGAATGAGAGAGCAAACAGACGGAAAGCCTGCGCGCCGGATGGGCTGCCTACCTGCACGGGGCGTCTGAGCCGATTCGCGTGCATAGCTTCAGTAAAATTGAGAAATCTTGTGTTTAGAGGACGAAACCCAACTTTTTCTATATACCAATCGAAAGCTTATGAAATTTTGAGTAAATGAGTACACATTTGACAAGTTAAAATGCTGCCGTTTACTTACTTTCTTAATTGGAAAAACATCTAGTGCAAATTTTGAATTTTAGCGGCATTTGGGCGAAGTTTGGGATCCACTTACCCGATCGGGCTCATATTGGTACCGTTGGATTCGTCTTAAAATTCCCTTTCGAACGGTACAAGCGGCACGAGTGTAGCTCAAACCCCTGAGCTTCAAAGCTCAAAAATGTGTATTTTATTTAGTCAAAATTTGAGTGCAGAGTTGTTTATTGCGGCCTACAGCTCCTAAGGGAGGGCCACACCCACTATTTTTGAATACAGATATGGAAAGCCCATGAAATGAACTACAATTTAGCCTGTTCGGAAGTGCAGTTTGGATTTTCTAATAGGGTAGACAGGCTCGTGAAATAAGGCTTCATTTTCATGTTTTTCGCAATTTACTCCACTGGTAATCACGCTAGACCAAATCTGAGGGCAGATTCGGATTCCTCGTCGCATTTTACGTCGGAATAGCTTTACCGCATGAAAATCCGACAAAAAATTGCCTTTTAGAGCCATTTTGAAGAAATTACAAATTTTTTAAGAGTAAAAAATTAAAATGCCGATTCTGACCAAACCACTTGAGATATCGACCTAAAAATTTATGGGCATGTTCCTGACCCCTAGGGCTACCTTCGTGCCAAATTTGGTCGAAATCGTCAATGGTCGCCCAGATCCGTGTAAATCTTATATGGAATGACCCTAGAGGCAAAGTAGCACGACGTCACGCTTGAAATGAAGCATACTCTGGTGAATTCCCCTTGCATTTAGATAGGGGGAGACTTTGCGGATGAGCCTGTTACGCTCGATTTCAAGCGTAACCTGATTACGCTTGAAAACAGGGGGTAATACTACGCTTAAGTTTTACCAGTGAATGAATGTTACAAAAGATATTCTGAGTCTCACTCATACCTGTCAAGGTTGGGTCTAGGGCAAAGAATCCCTAAAAGTTTGCCTTCAATTACAGGTCCTCAAAAGGCCACACTGCTACGGCTAATCTGAGTTATGGACAGTCTCACCCTACTTGACGAGAATCAATATGCCTCACGCTTACAATTGTGAACGAACCACATTCGCCCTACGCCTGGAAGTGTGAATCACTTGTCCCACGCTTGTGTGAGACACCGATGTCAAACACCTGCAGGTGTGAGACGTGGTTCAACGCCGCGCTTGCAAGTGTGGCACAAGTCTTGTGAGTCTCACACTTTCAAGAGTGTGACATCGGTGTCTCACACTTGGGCAAACATGGTCCTTACTAGTGAGCAGTGGCGCCAACTCGTGGTTGCGGTGGTGGTTATGGGAAGGGGAAAAATGGAAAAGGGAAGGGTGAAAGGGGAAAGGGGGGGGGCATAAAAGGAAAGGAGAGGAAAAAGAAGAGAAGAGAAATAGAAAGGGATGGGATTAAGGGGCTGGGTGGGTCACAGCGACCAGTCTCTCCCCCTAAATAAAATTTCTGTTGGCGCCACTACTAGTGAGCGTTAATCAAAGTCTCACAAGACAGTTCCACACTTGACATTCACAGACCCCAAATTCGGTCCGGTCCCTTATTTCGTCTTCTGGTCAGGCCCCTTGCTAGTCCGGAGGTTAGTGGAACCCAACTTGCAAAATGTGATACCGGAATGCCACTTGGCACAGTTGTTGTACTAACCCTAAGGATCATTTTAAGAGGTGGAGCCCAGGTGGACCCCCCTGCAGAGTGGCGGTACACGCGTTTGCCTATTTTCCAGGGTCAGAATTGAAAATCATTCGAAATAGACCTTATCTGACTGGCTATCAACTTGAGTTTTGGTACAGGACCACTTCTTTGGATGCCCAACGTGATTTTACTCTGGTTGGTGACGTAGCTATGCTTCAAACGGGAATTGACTACCTCCCT